ACAGGATGCCGTGCCTGAAAATGGGGAAGGGTGATTACGCCGAACAGGTTTACAGAAGCTCAAACAAGCAAGTTAAGAGGAAGTTTTATTTCTCAGTAACTCAGCAAATGTGGTTTTAAGCGGAACTAATATTTAGGGAACAGGAACAGCACTTCTGTGAAAGCCCAAAACGAACACTGGTTCAGGATCTCATACTCGGGGGTCCTTCTAAACTTACAGAGGTCATAGTTAGACACCTAAGATACGGTGGGGCAGTGAGTTTGTGACTTTTTACATGTTGGTCGTGCCTAGGCCAGATCTTGGTAGAAGGGGTGGGGGAGCGTTTTGCAACCTAAGTTATCTATTTAGCAAGCAGGCGAAGTTACAGAAGGGAAATAGGGGAGATAGGGCTGTTAGTAATTTCCGATAACCCTAGTAGGGAACCACATAAGCTTTTATCTCAATTTTTCATGAAAGGTGAGTTTAAGCCGAACTTATATACAAGCTTTCTGATATCTCATAAGTTGACCTATTACAGTCCCTAATGCAAACTTGCAGTGTCCCTGTGGGGCTAGTGGAGCTTCAGACCCTGTGGCAGCAGAAGGAAATCCTGCTCTCAGGTCTTCCTGTCCCCTTCCTCCCTCTGTCCTGCAGCCACATCTTCAGAGTGGAGGGGGTTCCCAGAGCTGGCCTCTCAGACCTTTCAAGCCCTGTCTACCCCCAGAGGCCTCATGCCCACCTCTGACCTCGCAACTCAGCTGCAAAGGAACAGGGTTGTGGCTCTATCCCTTCTCATTTCTCACGTTGGGCTTTAGCCAAGACATTGGTTGCTTTTGTAAAGTGTGACTATCTCCCGTTGAAAGCCATCTATTGTTTACAATGTAGACTCTACCAGAGCGCCTGGGTGGCTCAGTCGGTTAAGCATCTGACAGGCTCAGATCATGATCTCACGATCCGTGTGATTGAGCCCCGCGTGGGGCTCTGTGCTGACAGCTTGGAGCCTGGAGCCTGCTTCAGATTCTGTGTCTCCCTCTCTCTGACCCGCCCCCGTTCATGCTCTGTCTCTCTGTCTCAAAAACAAATAAACAAAAAAAAAATTTTTTTTAATGTGGACTCTACCTGGAATGATCTGCCTTCACCGTGTTTTAAGTTTGAAGAAAGCAGGTCTAATGTTCTGTGTACCTTGGCCATTGTTCCGTTGTGCCAGAGGCAAACTAGCTCTGAGGAACAGGAGAGAAGGGGGTCTGTCAGGGGGCTGTGGTTGCTCCTCTGAGGGGATTGGGAAGCCCTGCCCAGGGCCCAGGGGATGCTCACGAAGCACCTCTTCCTCCTCCTGTTTCCAGCTTCCAGGCCACATTTACTGATGTGGAAAACAAAGGCAGAAGAAAAACAATTGAACAGTCTTACAACTTACAGCCCATTGATGAGTCCTTGAGACGACAGACAGTGACCTTCTAGGAACTCAGCTGCCTGGATGTTAATGGTTTGCTAAGGGCAAAAAGCAATCTTAGCTTAACATTAGTCCAACCTCCTGGATCCTGTAAGTCTCTTTTAACATAATAAAAATTCCCTTGGAAACTTCCTTTATCTCTACCCACCCTCCCCCAGATGTATGTTAGCAATCATCCTCCAAGCATATGGTCCACTGACATACATCTGAAGTATCTCATGACTGAGGTGTTTCTAGAAAGTAATAAATGACCTTTTCCTAACACCAGTGAGCACCTGGAAACTTTCCTTCCAAATTCGTTACACTTCTGCTATCCCTAACCGCCTCCCGACTTGAAAGTATATAATGGGCCACTTCACACAACCCAGTGCAGCTCTTTCTGCCCAACGGTCCTGTCCCTGTGCTTTCCTAAAACCTCCCTTTTTGCACCGAAAACCCTGCAAGAATTCTTTGTTGACCGTTTGCCTAGGACCTGAACATTTCACATCATTACCACCAGCAAGGAAAGCATCTTCGTGACAATGATGGCCACTTCCTAAATAAAGCCCGAGAATGTAATCTAACTCAGCAAAAAAAGAAAGCCACTGAAAAGTGAAATGAGAATGGTGGAATATTGAAAATGTTTTTAAGAGCATTTTGTTATGCCCAGAATTCCTGATCCCCAAAGACCACCAGGGAGCTGAGTCCCATGCAAAAGCAAAGAGCCTTTATTCCAGCTAGCTCCAGCTCAATCCCCTACCTGCACCGAAGCAGCGGTGAGAGGCTGGGGAGAGAGAGCGAGTTTCAAAAGCACAAAGGTTTTATAGGGGTCTAGGGGCAGTTGGTGAGGTAATGGCTGTGGCCTCAGCCGATTGGCCGGGGAAGGGTCATGGCCTCGGCCGATTGCCTGGGGAAGGGTCGGAGTCCTATTACCTAGGTCGCTGGGCATGTTTTGATCGGGAAGTTTCAAGGGGTGAGGGGGAGGTTACTCAAGGCGAGGAGGTGTGGTCAAGGTGGAGGACACAGAACAAGATGGAGTTGGCCGGTGTAGGTCCGTCCTTTCACATTTAAAGATGTTAAACATACATATAAAATGAAAAGTAAAATTTTAAAAAGAATGTGAATCTCTTTTTGTTCTTGTAATTTGTCTAAAAAGGAATATATATATATGTGTGTATATGTATATATACAGATATATATATATATGATGAGGGAGCATAAGGCAGGATGAGGGCAACATACAAGCTCACACACCCCTCCCCCACAGGTGGGATCTGTGTGATATCCCTTAGTCACTCCTGGCTGCCCAAGACCAAAGGAAAGGAAAGAAAACAAATGGTTAACTGATAGAGATCACGGTCCTGCAGGACGGGTGGGGGGAGGGGAGGTCTTCATTAGTTTACACATATCTTAGTAAATTACAAGAAAAAGGCAATCTTATCAATGGCCAGCCAGCGGATCTCCAGAGCCCTATAGACGCAGTTTCCTGGAGCCCCAACCTCACCCTCCCCTCCAGAGTGATGTAGGGAACAAAGGCAAGAAGGGAATGGCACACAGTGTTGAATTTCCTTATAACCTGGGGCCCATTGACAAATACTTGAGGCTGGCAGAGGAAAACATTTCTCCAGGGACTCCCTACCTACTTGATGTTAATGCTTTGCTAGAGGAAAAACAACCTTAGCTTGGCAACAGCAGGCCTGCACTGATCTCTGAGTCTTTAGCATATGAAAGTCCTTGGAAACTTCCCTTTTGACTTTACCTCCCTCAAGTCCATGGTATATAACCAGCCTTTCTACACAATCCCACTGCAGCCCTTCCTGCCAACATGGGCCCGGTCCTGTGCTTTAATACAATCACCTTTTTGCACCAAAGGTGTCTTCTAGAATTCTTCCTTGGCTGTCATCTCCGGACATGTGATGAGCTTTTGGAGGATCTGGAGATGACACATATACCTGACCCATGGTCTGGAATTCATCTACCCTTACCACAGAGTATTCTTAGAAATGGAGGTTTCCCTAAAGCCAGGAGTTCACCAGAAAGATGTGGTCTCCGAGGACTTAGACGTGGATGGGATGCGCTCCAGCTCTGGTGTGGCCCCTCTCTCATCATCCTGCCACTGCCACTGCCACTTTCATCCTTGTCCTCGCCCTTCCAGGTGTCTCTCAGGTCAGCCTCCTTTGGACAAGGGTCTGGGAGAGTGACTGGGACAGCAGAGCTTCATAGAAGTTCCTCTCCCCCGGTGGGGCAGGAGGGCTGGCCGAGGAGAGTATTTGCGCCCTTGGGGAAGGATCTTTATCCTTCCTGAGCGGCGAACACACTGGAGGTGCCAGCAGACACAGTGGCTTCTCTCTGGGAGTCCCACCTGCTCACCGAGCAGGGACCCCGAGGGGAGCCGCGGGGCCGCGGGGTCAGATACGGCCTCTGGGGGGCGACCCAACAGCGAGGGGTGCAGGCCCAGGAGGCTGCAAGCATCCGAGGTGAGGGGCGGGATAGGGGTGACCCAGGATCCATGGGGACACTGGGGGGCACCGGCGGGCGGGGGAGCTGCCTGCACAAGGTGTCACGAAGAGCCGTCCGCTTGCGGGCGAATCCCTGGACTCTGTAGAAAAGTCAGCGGGGTGTCCTAGCTTGCGACCCCTCGGCGGCCAGCGCGCCCTTCGCCCCAGGCTCGCGAGGGCCACCGGGCCGGGTGACAGAGAACGGGCGCGCAGCGGGCCACGCACTGGCTCCAGAAAAGTCGACGAGGGCAAAGGGCGAGGCCAACGGTCTGGCCCCGCGGGACTCGCTAGCCTCTGGCCGCGCGCACCGGGCTGCAGTTGGAGGGACCAGGCGTCGCCTCGCTCGGTGGGACCGGCCACCACCGCGGCGTGGGCGCCCAACCGCCGCCTCAGCGCCCTGGGTCCTCCGCCCTTTCCCTTGGATCCCCGAGGGCGGCGCCTGTCGCACGCGAGTCCCGGCAGCCGGGACCCTCCGATGGGGGACCGGGCTCAGCGGCGGGGCCAGCCAGGTTCGGCCGGATGCGGGGACGTGGGGGAGCTGGCCCCGGGAGGGAGAGCCCCAGGTCGCCGGACAGGTGGCAGCGGGGCCAGCGTCCAGGTGCTGAGCGACACGGGACAGAGCGCCCCGGGCGCCAGAGCCCCCGGGCGCGTCTCTCCAAGCGCCGCCGCAGAGGACAGCAGTTAGGCCGGCGCCCCGCCGCCGCGCGCGGGTGGCCCAGGGCCCGGGACAGCCACCTCCAGATGCTTCACGGGGTGGCCCGGCATCCCGGAGCCGGCGGCGGCGCGGCCGCCCGGGGAAGCTGAGCCCGCGGCACCCGCAGCTGGGCCGCCGGGATCCTGAGGTGGCACCCAGGTGCCCCGACCTGCCCGCCCGCCGCCCCCACGTCAGCCGGTCCCGGAGGGCAGGGCCTCTTCACTTAGGTCTACGCATGTGGGCACACGGTCTTCAAGGCCCAGAACTTGCCTCGGCTCGCCCAGGTGGTGGCGGCCCTGCCAGGGCTTGACCCGGGCTGCCTGGCACACCTGGAACCATCAGATCCTGGCGAGTCCTCGTCACGCGCACGTCACGAATGACTTCGTTGTGTTCTGTTTCGATGGTCCTTAGGGCGCTCGGCGCCGGGGCACACGAGTGATGGATGAGCGCCCCGGAGGGCCAACTCGGGGGCACTTGCAAGTGCGCCTTGGGCACACCGGGCCTCCGTCTCTCAGAAGATGAGGGCGGGGCCACGCGTGGTCAGAACATCTCGGTGGCAGATTGCTCCCGGAACTGAGTCGCGCAGCAAACCCCGCGGCTGTCAGTGAGGCGTCTTCTCCCAGGTGCAGGGACAGGGGTGCGCATGGGGGAGGGGGAGGGGCCCAGGGTCCCCTGCCCCGGGAACTCCCGCCCGGAAGGCACCGACAGTTCTTAGAATCAGTCCATAGACCAGGCTTCGGAATCCTAGTCCGACTCGGCAGTTTACTAACGCTAACTTATCCAGGCGGCAAAGATGCTCTGTATCTCCATCTATTCAGGGCTTTGGAATTTTCTCTCGGCAATATTTGGTACCTAGGATAACACTGAGGCCTGTGGGCTAGATTCCACACATGGCCTGTGTTTGTAAGACCCCAGAGCTAAGAACCGTGCTGGCAACTTTAGTTGTAACACCCCTGCACGCGCGCGCGCGCGCGCGCGCGCACACACACACACACACACACACAGAGAGAGAGAGAGAGAGAGAGAGAGAGAGAGAGAGAGAGAGAGACAAATATGTGATAGAGATCTGTCATCCACAAAGCTATAATATATATGTATTATCGGGCTTTTTTCGAGAAAGTTTGAAGCCACTGCTCTATGGTTTTGGGACTGTAGGTCTTCCACGGCTTTTGCCAATTTGTTTGTAAATACTCGATGGGGTTTGTGAATTTCATTTTTCAATAGTCCATTGGTGGTTTTCAGGAAATACTCTATATGATCTTGTGGCCTGGGACCTTGCGAAAATCACCTCACTTCTGGTAGTTTCTCTGTAGGTTCCTTAAGATTTTCTACAATATATAATGTTTCCTATGAATCATGATTTTATGAATAGAGCTAGTTTTCCTTCCCTTTCAATCTGCACGCCTGGTATTTCTCTTTCTTACTTTTACCTTTGCAGAGAGCAACAGCTGTCAGCACGGCACCGTCAGGCTTTTCTTTCCAATGAAAACGCACCGCCGACCACACAGCTGTCTGTGAATGGCCCCGCGGGTACAAGGACAGGCGATATACACGGCAGGTGGGTGCAGGGTCTCAAGCCTTACCCAAGGGCACCCACATCACTTACAGTAATTCCGTAGACCGGCTGTCAGGGTCCTGACTGAAAATGACAACTTACCAATATTTCCCAGTGACAAGTGTGATGTGTGCATATACACATATATTGTGCAATGGGCCGTAAACACGTGGTGGTCTTGGCTGGTACACAGGCAAAACAATTGCCTGTTGTGTATTGGCCTTTATACTGGAAACTCAATTCATTGCTCAATTCATTGCGTGCTTCTTGATAGTTTCTTTGTACGTGCCTTTGGATTTTCTACATGGGCAATCATGTGTTCTATGCCTAAAGGCACTTTTCCTTCTTTTTTTTTTTTTTTTTTTGAGTTTATAGATTTAATCTGAGACAGAGAGAGAGAGAGAGTGCAACTGGGGAGGGGCAGAGAGAGAATCCCAAGCAGGCTGTGCACTATTGGCACAGAATTTGATGCGGGGCTGGATCCCACGACTGTGGCATCATGACCTGGGCCCACATCAACTGTCTGATGCTTAATGGACTGAGCCACTCAGGTGCCCCTGTAATTTTCTTCTCTTTTGCGATTTGGACCTAGAATGACTTAGCAAACTTTCCTTCTCTCCTTTCTGAAAGGATTTGTGTCACATTGGTAAAATAATGTCATTTTAGGTTGTATAGAGTTCATCCGGGGGGAAAGAAAACCCTTGGAGGTGGAAATTTCTTCCTTGAAAGGTGTTTATCATCTCTTGTTATCAGTTTTCTGTCTTGCAGATGGCCAGTCAGACCCCCTTTTATATTGGTAGTATTGCTAATTTGAATTTTCTGATTTCTTTTGCAGTCTAAGTAGGTGTTTATAAATTTTCATCAGCCTTTTAAAAATTCCTCCTTTGGCTTAGTTTTCAGGGCTGTGTAATCTCTATTTCGACTCTTAGTTTTATTATTTCTTCATTTCCACTTCGTTTGGGTTTAATATACGCTAGCTGCTCTTAGGACGGAATCTTGAGCCATTGTTTTTGATTATTCTTGTTTTTTAATATAGACACTTAAAGCTGCAAAATTCTCTGAAGCATTCTGCTTAGCTGTGTTATTTATTTCACACAGTTTTATTTGGTCTCCTTTAATTATCATTCAGTTTAAAATATTTCCTGGGGCACCTGGGTGGCTCAGTGGGTTAAGTGTCCGACTTCGGCTCAGGTCATGATCTCATGGTCCTGAGTCCCAGCCCCATGCTGGGCTCTGTGCTGCCAGCTCAGAGCCTGGAGTCTGCTTCAGATTCTGTGTCTCCCTCTCTCTCTGCCCCTCCCCAGCTCGCACTCTGTCTCTGTCTCTTTCTCTCTCTCTCTCTCAAAAATGAACAAACATTAAAAAAAATGAAAAATTTTTTTCCAATTCTCCTTATTTTTCTTTGACACATTCGTGATGAAAAAGTGTGTTTTGTATTCTTTCTGAACATTTGAGAATTCTTACTCATATTATTATTGATTCTACTTCAATTATATTGTAGTCGCAGAAAACATTCTACCTGGCGTCCACTGGGTCATGATTGCTCTTCCTTCCCTGACTTTTCATGTGGTATTTCCCCAGCCTGATAGTAATCCGTGTCTACCTGGCCACTTCCTTCTTCTTCTTGAGGTGTGATTGATGTCCCATCCGTCCCAGACTTCGTTTTACGTCCTTCCTACCTGCTCCGAAACCCCCACCACTGCCCCTCCCGTGTGATATTCGGTTGATTCATCCGACTCTCACCATATTGTACATTCCTGTGCAGCAAGGGACACCTGTGAACTCTGTATCACTAGGGTCAACCGCGATGTGTAGGACAGAGTCACCACCAAACAAATGTTTAATAACATGTACGTAAGAGACTGAGGGACATGCTGGCGTTTTTTTCTTTCCCCCGTCTTAAGCTGGTTTCCGTGGGTTGGAAATGTGTTAGAAAAGATTCTGTGTTCAGTAGTAAAGTCTAGTGGCCACACAGCCTGACTCTAAGGTGAGCCAAGCTTGAGTGACTTTGTGTATCTTGCAGTTTGATAGTTCCGTGGGTCAGAGGAGGGGAAGCCTTGTCGGTTTTCCAAATAGAACTTATGCAGTTGTTTAACCTTAAAAGACAACCATTTCTGATTCTTTAAAGCAGCATGAGCGCAATGTCTGTATGTTGACCCCCGACTTAAATTTTACAAAATTATAAAGCAGGCATGAGTCTTCCTGTTTCCCGCCAAGCCCGAGCTCACTGTGCAAAGTGTGAATGCGTGGGGATTATTGGCAGAGTCAAAATTGAAGGAAGACTCATGTCTAAGTGAGTCCAAGATTCTAAATGCTTCCAAGACTATTTCTAAATGACTAAAGTTGAACAGTGTGGTTTGTTTGGTGAGGGTGACGTGGCCTCCAGTGGGGGCAGGTATTCGGAGAAACACAGGAGGAAGAGGAGAGAGAGTCGCGCCCTATCTCCCCAGTCTGCACCTGGCTTTCTCCTGGGCTGCTGTCCCTCACACTGACCACACAGACTTTGGAGGGCGGCTCATGCTGTCAGTAGTGGGGCACTTCCACCCCCTGTTTCCTGGGCCCCGGAGCTTTGTAGACTCACCCCATCGCCACCTCAACCCATCGCCACCTCTACAGGTCAATTCTTCCTCCCTCGTTGAGTTAAAGCCGCCAAATACGTAAGCGGGGGACAAATGGACAAGAACGGCGTGTGTGTAAGGATATTATATCTGGGAAAGAAGGTAAGGACCGTTGAAGCCAATGGGTAAGAGGAGAGGGACAGCTGTAGGCAGCAGTGGGTGTCCTGCCAGTTTTGAGACTAGAGGAAAACTGGCCTAGAGCTGGATTCTTCCAAGCCAACAGTCAAAACCAGAGTGTTGCACGCTTGATATTCATAGATCTCTCCCTTCTCTCCACAGTGGACCTTTCAAGGCAGTGTGTTGACCTCTGGCCAGTCTCAGCGGAATCCACAATCTTCGATACCTACACAAACACTGAGCTGGTGGGGCTCCTGCTTGCTCTAGGGAAATGAAACACAGGTTAAGATTGTTTGATATAACTAGTTGGGCCTGAGACCGTTCCCAGCACAGAAAATCCATTAGGCGGGGACAGTGGTTGCCTGCCATTTGGAGAGGAGGATTTTGCTTCCTGGTTGCCGAGATCCTATTCTTGCCTGAGAAGACAATGATTGGGTTGCTGCCCCCACGCTTGTGTCCCCAAGGAATCCCTGGGCAGGTGACAAGGATACCCCAAAGCAAGGCTGCTCCTGGCCGGACCCACTGAAGAGGCACATATGACCTGCTCAAAAGTTCGTAAAAAAGTGCCCGAAGCACAGGTGTTTTCTCCGTGGTGGTGGCTTCTACGAAATTGGGGGTGGGGGGGGTGGGGGGCGGAGATCCTGGCTGGGAAGGCCCAGGTGTTCCGACTGAGGGCAAGACTGCAAATGTCTTCCTAAAAGTGATGTCCCATCTGACTGCAACAGATGTGCACTGGCCATGAGCCAGCTGCTCTGAGCAATGTTGGAAACAGAAGTGTCTCCAAACCCTACGGTTGTCCTGTCCCACTACTACACTCCCCGTCCTGTGGACCTGTGGACCCCAGGCGCCCTGACTGTATTCATGGACAACAGTTCCTCCAGCCACACATGTGGTGCCCTGGCCAGCCGGTCCTGAGGAGTGACAGAAGGCAGGGACAGAAGTATCTCCAGACATGTGTTTCTTCTCAGTGGTGCAGGCTTCTCCAATAGTGACTGGTTTGCTGTGGTCATATGGGGCCCAAGGGTGCTGTCCGGCCGCCGGAAGGATGACTGATTCTCCACCACAGTTATTGTCCTGGCCCCTCTCACTGGAAGTGTCCCTGTGCTCCGGCCAGGTGGAACCCAAGTGCTCTGATTCCAGGTGGGACTAGGAGAACCTCCACACGCAGGTGCGGCGCTGCCCTCTTACTGCAGTGATGCGTTTGCACCAGATGGTGATCGGGTGCCTGGAACACAGGAAGGAACAGAAGTGTCGTCAGGCACATGTGTTGTCAATGATGGTGTCTCCTCCAGTAGGAACAGGTGTGGGTGCCTGGGGGTTCCAGGTGGTCTGACGTGGGGCAAGAAGGAACGTGTCTCCCAGGGGAGCCTTATTCTCTGCAGATGAGACAGAGGTGCTACCGGCTAGCAGGACTCTGATGTTCAGGCCTTGGCCTCCTCAGCAAGACTTGAGGTGCCCGGTGTGGCCCTCAGGCCTTTCCTAAAGCTGAGCGCTTCAGACATGGAGCTGGGGCGGGTGGCGGACACGTTGACCCCAGAGCGTCCTTACCCAAAGAGCTGCGGGTCCCTTGCAAAGAAAGGGGCCTGGAGTGATGTTAGCCAAAGCTGAGCCGTGCCTAGTGTTGGGCGTCCTGATGATGGCTCCAGGTCACGGGGAGCAGCAGCTGTGCAAGTGGAGACAACCCCGGAGGTGCCACCAAAGCCCGGCTGACCGATGCCAAAGGGGGAATGTGGGCATGTCAGGCGTGCAGAAGCTGACTGAGCTGTGCTCCCACTGGGTGCCTGTGCGTCAGTAGAGGTTAAGTCTGGAGCTTGTGTTGGGACTGCCAGATTGCCCATAGGGTGAGAGCTAGCAAATCTATCGGCGGGGGGGCGGGGCATGTCACACGGACCCTGGGAGGGGCTTTGTGGCCATATCAGTTTCATCAGAGGCAAAGGCAGGCTTGCTTGGAAGCCCAGGTGGCTGAGGTCCTGACCGCTGGAAAGCAGGTAACTGCGAAACCAGTTACGGATCGACTGGTAAAGACAGACACTGGGGAGAGTGCCTCTCTGCTACTGCCCATCAGGGCCTCCAAATGTGACTGAGGGGTGGCTCCTAGGCTCAAGGAAAGGCTCAGAATTGGGGGTAGGGCTCCTGGTCGTAAATGCAGTGGACTAGTAGAGACTGGACGTGTTGCACACTGAATTTTCCTGCGTCAGGAGGAGCTAACTCACAGCGGATCCCGGGGGAATCAGGAGGTGAATGCCTGGAAATGGGGAGCCGAGCCCATGTTGGTTACGGCCAATTCCAAAAGAGGCTGGAGGTCATGTTTGCGGATGCACTGACTGCTTCAGTGGAAGTGACAGGGAATCTGTGATGGACTGGCCAGTGAAAACTGAGGTATCGGTAGAAGTGAGGCAGGAACACCGGGACTGGACGAGTGGGTGGGTGCCAGCTGGTCAGGGGACAGGAGATGGGTTGCGGAAGGGCAGAAGCTTGCTTTAACAAATTGCCCACCTAGAGCAGCGTGTTCACGTCTGCTCCCGTGAACGAATATACGTAATTTGATGTGCCTCCCAACTACCGCCTCTCCCGAGGCAAACCATGCACTGTTCAGCCTGATGCTGGTGACTCCTCCCTGGAATGTGTGACAGAGAAAGGACTGGCCAGGATGAGTGGAAGAAAGGGCACCGGAGAGCAAAAAGGCAGGGCCGGTGTCCCTTCTGCAGTCCCTTTGGGATATCCGCACCTGGTTGCAGGTGTTGGGGACCAGATGTGCCCCTGCACTCTGCGGGCACAGCTCAGGACTGCAGATGCTCCTTGCCAGCGGCCTGGGGACCGCCGGGGCTTGGGGTCTACAGCCCCCTCGGCACCTGGCCCAGGGCCATAGCTGTGGCCATCCCTGCCTCTGGGTCCACTGGCCATTTGTCCCGGGGTCAGAGGAAGCAGAGCCTGCTCAGAGCCCAGCACTGGGGCAAGCTGCGTCTTGCTGCGGTGGGGGCCTGGCTCACTCTAGGTCAGTGTAAGAGAAAACCTGACGGAGGGAGGGTATGAGGTTGGGCTCTTTCCTAAGGAGACTGGTGCCAGTCCTGGAGCAAGACAGACCTCCTTTGTGGCGGTCCTGGAAAAGCGTGAGTCCCAAGCATCACAGGCTGGGTTGCAAAATGTCCTGAGGTGGGGGCGGATGGGGTGCCCTAATGTGCCCAGATGCCGTACTCCACAATATCCCTTCCATGCAGGCAGGTTCTCTTCACCTCTTTTTACAAATTTTACAAATTACAAACAGCATTTAACCCTTAGAACCTTGCTCAGCTCCCCCATGTGGCAGTGCAGCCAGGATTTGAACCCAGTCTGTCTGATTGCAGAGCTCATGCATTCACCACCTGACTATGGTGCCCCCTCATCATGTGGGCATCATGGACGACCATTTTTATAGTCAGGCGCTCAGCACCTTGGCACACCTCTAAGCATCATAGACGCTGCCTACTAGGTCTGAATTGGTAGCACTCATAAGGCACCCACAGGCCACCCTGGGCTCCAGTGTCCTCAGAAGGTGTAGGACAGAGATCAGCGGTTGCCAGCATATCCCGTGGGGCATTTGTCTTAGCCTTGTGGCAAACCACACAGCTGACCGTGAGCATTCTCTCCCGGGTGCAAGGACCTAAGCTGCACTGCAGTTGGGCGCAGAATCCACTCTGGCTTAAAAGTCTGTGTCCCAAGGCATAATCTCTGGTGGTAACTCCTTAACCCTGCTTTGTCTTGGGATGAAGGAAATTCCCTCCGATTCCTACTGTACTGAGGGATTTTTTTTTTTAATTTTTTTTCAACGTTTTTATTTATTTTTGGGACAGAGAGAGACAGAGCATGAACGGGGGAGGGGCACAGAGAGAGGGAGACACAGAATCGGAGCTCAGAGCTCCAGGCTCTGAGCCATCAGCCCAGAGCCCGACGCGGGGCTCGAACTCACGGACCACGAGATTGTGACCTGGCTGAAGTCGGACGCTTAACCGACTGCGCCACCCAGGCGCCCCTGAGGGATTTTTTCGAAAGCTATGTTAAGCCTCATCAATTACTTCCCCACAGCTTTGAGATGTGCATATTCTCTCAATGTGGTGAATTACACTGATTGATTTTAAATATTAAACCAACTTCGAATTCCTGCTACAAATTCCATTTGGCCATTCTTGATTACCTTTTTGCATTTGACAAGTTTTGATTTCCTAAAAGATTAAAGATTGTCATATATGTTTTCCTGAGGTATATTAATCTGTACATTTCTTTATTATGTTTTGGTATGAAGGTGGTATTAACCTCATAGAATGAATTAGGAGAGTCTGTCCCCTCTCTATTTTCTGAGAGTTTGTGGAACACGGGTAAAATAGCTTATGTGTATGATGAGATTCACCAGGAAAACTATTTGCATCTGCAATTTTCTTCCTGAAAAGGTGTCTATAATCACTTGTTATCCTTTTAACAATTCCTGGTCTGTAGCAATGCCTCCTTTTCCCCTGATATTGGTAGTAATTTGAATTTTCACTTTTGATGTTATGATTAATCTCAGTAGACATTTATCAATCTTATCAGTCTCTTAAAAATCTAACTTTAATTTTGTTGATTTTCTGTGCTATTTTCTATTTCTGATTTCTGTCATTTCTATTTTGGATTTAACTTGCTTTCTGTTTCTCTGGTTCTAGGATGGAAACTTGAATCACTGTTGTTACATCTTATTGATTAATGTAAACAGTTGAAGCTGTAACATTCTCTCAGGCCCTGCTTTAACCACATTCCATAAAGTTTAACTTGCTCCACTTTAATTACTATTCATTTCAAACTGTTTTCTAATTTTTTGGTTGTTTCTTCTTTGATGCATTGGTCACGTAACCATCTGTTTTATGTTATTTCTAAATAATTGCAGATTTTGTGGATATTTTATTAGTTTCTGCTTTAATTCCACTGTGTTCAGGAAAAAAACCTCCCTCTATATGTTCAATCCTTGGAAATTTGTTGATACTTAGTTTTTGACCCCATATATGCCAACTTTATGAACACTCCACGTTCACTTGAGAAAGAAGTATTTCAGCTACTGTTGGATATAGTGATTTACAAATGCCAATAAGTCAAGATAAATCTTCTGAACTCTTACTTGCTTTCTGTCTACTTGGTCTGACAACTAGTAAGAAAGAAGCATTAACATCCCCAAACACGATTGTAATTTGTGCATTATCCTTTAGTTTGGTCAGTTTTGGCCTTACATATTGAAAGCCTGCAATTAAGTTCCTGGACATATTTATTTATATCTTCCCGATGAACATTTTTAAGTGCGCAAACTACTGCGGTACAAAATGCACTTTGTGTGCATCAGAGCACATGGACTGAAGCTCACGGCAGCAGTGGTTATAACCAAATAACCAGTGGGTGTGTTACTGGTAACAGAGAGGTACAAGGAGCATCAGCAGCGGAATGAATAACTCGCTAGCTCAACAGCAATGAACGTGGATACTGCACATACACCCGAGATAACATGGGTGCGTCTTATGTTTACTTTGACCAAAAAGGGCCCATAAATTATAATTCCCTTCACATAGAGGTCAGTAA